TGTCGCGTAGTATTTGTCAGTGCCAGCGACACATCATTAATGCTGCGACGTCGATGGTACGTCGTCTGTCTCCTAGCGTACTGGACCACGTGTTTGTCCTCCGAAGGCGCCCATTATTTTCACAAACCATTGTAGTTTTTGACAAACTTTTGACTACAAAGACTTACCGATATTTTCGAACGCTATTACAGCCAGTATCAGGAGGAGGAGGCAAAGCTAAAAAACATTGATGAGTGGGATTACTTATGACTTGAAACTCTTGGAGAGCAAGTTATTCCCTTACGGCGGATTAGATGAGATTAGATGTTACCTCAATTGCAAGCTGCGTAGCGTAGAAGGTTGATTCCGTGTCAGATCTCACTTCGAAATAAGTGAGGATTCCCAAAAAGCAAATTACCAGCACGCAAATAGTCTGTAGTGCAATATACACGTGTTCGTTGGAACGGTCATCGACGAAGGTATCATTACCAGATGGAAGTTGCTAAATCTCCTACCTCTAAAGAAATTGCCAGTGCTTTCAGAAAGGCATAGGTATCTTGGCGGCTTTTAGCTCGACGAACGTCTCTCCTAGAAAATTGGTACGTGGATCGGAGTAAAAAAGACACTCTGCTCGTGGAACGCACTCCTGAAGTCGCCCAGGGCGGTAGGGGTGCACAAACGATCCAGATTGAAACATTCCCGAGACATTCTTCAATGAACAGGAGAGGAACATCCATCATTCTCTTCAGAGATTTTTTTAGATAGCTCACATGACACAATGCAGCACTGTTCCTTGAACTGGTCCCTTATCCGAATGCGATCCAAATGCACGCGGCTCTTGCGATCCCCCCCCTACTACGTGGAAGTAAAACCACCCGCTGGGGGACATTTTTTATCAGGATCTGGAATTTCGCTGCTGTGCTCAGATTTTTCGAAGGTTCTGCTTTCTGCTCAGATCTATTTTGATCCGCAAAGCAACATCAAACGATGCTTCGAAAATGTCCGATGTGATTCCCTTTGGCCACACGCAATCAACCACTACATGGATGAAGCCGTGTTCGAAAGAGTTTAATACATAAAAAATTTTGGTTTTTCAGTCGCTTGTGAGCTTGCAATAATGAACGAGATTCTCTGCACAATGTAATGTGTAGAAAAAGTTCATGCGGATTTTTGCTACCCCAACTCCAAATCTGTATTATTTTGAGTTACAATACTGGCTCTATACACTAGCTTGATCGGTTTTGTTTTGAAGTAACCTTTCCAATTTTTTAAGGTGGTCGAAACTGCCATGGGGAATCGACAATTCGCATAGTTTTAGTCTTTTCCAACTTGAATGGATAGGAAAGTTGCGGAAACGATCCTTAATATCAGCGGAACGTTTGGTCTCAGACCGTCGCATGAACATTCTGCGCGGTGGTGCTTTAAGAAATTTTGAACCGGCGATGAGAGCTCTGAAGATGATAAGCAGGTGAGCGGCCATCAGATATTGGGCAACGAATAAGAGATTAGTGCCCAAAGAATCCTGCGTGAACCATTGGATGATGCTTCGAATCTGGAAGAATTCAGCGCACAACTGTTTGTACGCATGCAAGTCGGGAAAAATCGAAGAGAAGGTTCAATAAGTAGGGACCGACCAATGGAGCCTCGGCCAGAACCGATTGGACGCTTGGAGGAGTAAGAGCCAATTATTCTCGACGACCTCAAGTCACAGCTCGTAAAACCATTCCTAAAGGCCTTTAAAGGAGCTGTGGCTAGATACTCTATCGCCTCCACCACATTCACCACATTTCAGCAGGCCTCATCTCCACCGCATACCTTCTTCTTCAAACACTCTCGACTAGGTCTCTCAGGGAGGAAATGCTTCTCAGAAACCAATAAGATGCTGCAGTGAGA